GGAGGGACGAAGGAAGAGGGAAAACGCCAGGAGAGAAGGAGCGAAGAGGGGGGCCGTTGATTAGAGGCAAAGACAGAGAGAGAGAGAGAGAAAGACAGATAAGAGAGGTAGAGAAAGAAAGGGGAGAGAGAGACAGAGAGAGAGAAAGAAAGAAAGAAAGAGGGAGGGAGGAGGCAGGAGAGTGGAGGGAGAAGGGAGGAGGGAGAGGAGGCAGAGGGGATAGGGCAGAGAGGCATAAGGATGAGGGAGGAGAGGAGGGAGAGAGAAGGGAGGAGAGGAGGGAGGAGGGAGGAGGGAGAGGGAGCAGGAGCAGGAAGGTAAGAGCGTGAACGTTCGCGGAAGTCCTAGGCGAAAGCGCCGTTCCTGAAGGAAGTCTCGGGCGGGAGCCCACGACGGGCGGGCGATCCCCTGACGGGCGGGTCGGGCGGGTGGGACATTCAAGCGGGATGTCTGAATATGGCGAGAGCGCGATTACTAAGTAAATTGTAACGGCGTCCTTGGCGCAGCGTGATTCCTGAGCGTTGAGAGCGCGATTTCTAAATAAATTGCATGGAACTCACAGGCGAGAGCGCAATTACTGAATGAAATATGAAGGGCTCTCTGGAGGGAGCGGGGGTTTTGATTGAATTGCGAGGAAGTCTTGATTCAATTGCGAGGAAGTCTCAAGCGGGAGCGCCGTTCCTGAGTAAATTGCGAGGAAGTCTCAGATGGGAGCGGGGGTCCTGATTAAATTGCGAGGAAGGCACAAGCGGGAGCTCCGATACTGAGTAAATTGTGAGGAAGTCTCAGGAGCGGGGGTCCTGAGTAAATTTGGAGGAAGTCTCAGGCGGGAGCCGCTGTTGTTGCAATCCGGGGGGCCAGGGGCACAGTTTGAGCACCAAGACTTTCTTTGTCAAAAAACAAGGTGCGAAGCGTCGAGGGACACACTTTGATTGAGAAAAACAATATGCACTGGTGAGGGGGATCCACCATGATTATTGTTCAGAAATGGGACTTCAGTAACAACAACAACGACAATAACAAGAACAACAACAACAACAACAACAACAACAACAACAACAACAACAACAACAACAATCAGTTGACCCTCATGCGTGATGTCTCCACACGTGCGCCCATCATGATAACCATCCCCATCATTGGGGTTATTGTTCCATAGCGGGGTCCATTATTGCCATTCCCAGATCTACCGTCCAATGAGGTCTTGCAAACACCTCCTCCGAGGAATTTCAACAAATCCCGCCTCGAAAACGCATGCCCGCGCCTTGCTGCGCCGATGCGAGACCGCCAGTGGAGCGTCAGCCAAGGGTAAAGCAAAAGGAAGTATCGAGCGACCGGATTGCCTTACTGGGGATGGGACCCGGCCCTGAAGAGAAAGGGAGGAAGTCTCGAGCAGGGCCGCTGTTGTTGCTGGGAGCGGCGCCAATGCTGAAGAGAGTTGGGCGCTAGTCCAGCGAAAAACAAAACGAAGTCTCGAGCGGGAACGCTGGTTCTGATGGGACGGCGGTTGTCGGCGGCGAGGAGAAACACCGCCTTGAGTACGAAGGGAGGAAGTCTCGAGCGGGAGCCGTGCTTTTGTCGGGACGGAGGCTGTCGGCGGCAAGGAACAGCACCGTCCTGAGGAAAGAGGGAGGATGCTTTGAGCGGGAGCGTTGTTCTTGCTGGGAACGGTGCCAATTCAAAGCAGAGTAGATCGCCAGTCCAGCGTAAAACGGGAGGAAGTCTCGGGCGGGAGCGCCGGTTGTGTCTGGACGGCGGTTTTCGGCGGCGAAGAGGAGCACCGCCTGGAGCAAAAAGTCGAGGAAGTCTCGAGCGGGAGCGTTGTTGTTGCTGGGGACGGCGCCGATGAGAGAAAGAGTAGCGCGCCAGTCCAAGGTAAAACAGGAGGACGTCTCGGGCTACTGGTTTTGTTGGGACGGCTGCTTTCAGCGGCGAGCAAGAGCACTGGCCCTGAGCAAAAAAACAAGAAGTCTCGAGCAGGAGCGTTGTTGTTGTTGGGGAGCCGATTTTGGCGCCCCCCCAAGCCGCTCGAGCGTGAGCCGAATTTTCAATGAAAGTGTAGCCTGCGCCGAGGCGAGAGCGCCAAAGTGCCTGGGGGGTCCAACAATAACAACTGCTTAGTTAATTACCAACAACAACAACAACAACAACAACAACAACAACAACAACAACAACAACAACAACAACAACAACAACAACAACAACAACAACAACAACATCAAACATTGTAAGACTGTTCGCCCTTATCTGCTCGAGTGTCCAATAACGCCTATTTCCCAAACCCTCCATACCCGCCCTCCTCGTCTTCGATCGAACCCTTTTTGGGGGGGGTCCCTTTCTTCCCTGCAAGCGGCGGGGCGGCCGCGGACCGTCGGCCTGGCCAGCGGCAGCGCTGATCGGCGGGGCGGCCGCGGACCGTCGACCCGACCCCAGGAGGGACGGACAGGGCACCGACCACGACGACGACGACGACGACGACGACGACGACGACGACGACGACGACGACGGCGACGACGACGACGACGGCGACGACGACGACGAGCGAAAGCGAGAGCGAAAGAGAACGACAGCAGGGCCACAAGGACACGAAGTAGGCCACGAAGGGCAACAGCGGGGACACGAAGGGAATGCGTATGGGGACACGAAGAGCGCGAACGAGCGGGGGCCACAAAGGGCAGATAATGCGGGGCCACAGAAGGCAACGATGGGGCCACTGAGGGTAGCAACTGGGCCACGTAGGACACATGCATATGGGGCCACCACGGGCGCGAACGAGCGGGGGCCACGAAGGGCATACATACACGGGGCCACGAAGGGCAACCAGGGGGCCACGTAGGGATGCAACGGGGCCACGAAACAAAGCGAGGGGGCCACGAAGGGCTGCAACGGGGCCACGAAGGACAGCGAGGAGGCCACAAGAGGCTGCAACGGGGCCACGAAGGGCTGCAACGGGGCCACGAAACAAAGCGAGGGGGCCACGAAGGACTGCAACGGGGCCACGAAGGACAGCGAGGAGGCCACGAGAGGCTGCAACGGGGCCACGACGGGCAGCGAGAGGGCCACGAAGGGCTGCAACGGGGCCACGAAACAAAGCGAGGGGGCCACGAAGGGCTGCAACGGGGCCACGAAACGCAGCGAGATCCCTATTCTTATGTAATCTGTGAGGGAGTCCTAAGAGTGAGCGCGACTCCTGGGTGCCTGGGTGTCGGGAGCGCGGCGCGCGAGTAAATTCCAAGAAATTCCCACGCAAGGGCGCTATTCTTCAGTAAATTGTAAGCAAGTCTCTAGCGAGAGCGCGAGTCCAGAGCGCCAGGAGAATAAATTCTAAGGACAGAGCGCCAGGAGAATAAATTCTGAGGAAGTCCCAAGCGAGAGCGCGATTCCTGAATAAAACACGAGGACGTCTCGGGCGGGAGCCGCTATTGTTGTAAACCGGGTGCCAACGACACAGTTTGACCCTCAAGTCTTTCCTTGATAAGAAACAGGCTGCGAGCCCCGGGAAGGGCACTTCAATCCAAAAAACAATGTGCACCAGACGGGGGGGATCAACCATAAGTAGTCTCCAGAAATGAAAGTTCAAGAACAACAACACCAACAACACCAACACCAACACCAACACCAACAACAACAACAACAACAACAGCAGCAGCAGCAGCAGCAACACAACCACAACCACAACCACAACCACAACATCAACAACACAGACAATCATTATAAGACTGGTCGCTCTTACTTGCCCGCGTGTCATTCAAAACGAGTTACCAACACCCTCGATATCCGCCCTTTTTGTCTTCGATCACACACCCTTTTGGGGGATTGTTTCTCTTTGCGGGGGGCGGCGGGCTTAGACATGCGGGCAAACTTGAACGGGCGAACAATCCTTCGTGGGCGTACATGTGCCCGCCATTGGAATTGGTGTGGGCCCTGCAAAAAAAAGAGAGGGAGAACGAGGGAGAGTGGGAGGAAGGGAAAGGGGAGGACGAAGGTAGAGGGAAAACGCCAGGAGAGAAGGAGCAAAGAGGGAGGCGGTTGATTAGAGGCAGAGAGAGAGAGAGAAAGACAGATAAGGGAGGAAGAGAAAGAGAGAGAAAGAGAGGAAAGAGAGAGAGAGAGAGGGGGAAAAAAAAGGAGGAGGAGGCAGGAGAGGGGAGGGAGAAGGGAGAGGGCAGAGGAGGGAGAGGGGATAGTGCAGAGAGGCAAACGGATGAGGGAAGAGAGGAGGGAGAGAGAAGGGAGGAGAGGAGGGAGAAGGGAGGAGGGAGAGGGAGGAGGAGCAGGAAGGTGAGAGCGTGAACGCTCGAGGAAGTCCTAGGCGAAAGCGCCGTTCCTGAAGGAAGTCTCGGGCGGGAGCCCACGACGGGCGGGCGATCCCCTGACGGGCGGGTCGGGCGGGTGGGACATTCAAGCGGGATGCCTGAGTATGACGAGAGCGCGGTTACTAAGTAAATTGTAACGGCGTCCTTGGCGCAGCGTGTTTCCTGAGCGTCGCAAGCGCGATGTCTGAATAAATCGCATGGAAGTCGCAGGCGAGAGCACAATTCCTGAATAAAATGTGGAGGGTTCTCTGGCGGGAGCGGGGGTCTTGATTAGATTGCGAGGAAGTCTTGACTCAATTGCGAGGAAGTCTCAAGCGGGAGCGCCGTTCCTGAGTAAATTGTGGGGAAGTCTCAGATGGGAGCGGGGGTCCAGACTAAATTGCGAGGAAGTCACAGGCGGGAGCACCGCTCCTGAGTAAATTGTGAGAAATCTCACAAGAGCGGGGGTCCTGAGTAAATTCGGAGGAAGTCTCAGGCGGGAGAAGTTGTTGTTGTAATCCGGGGAGCCAAGGGCTCAGTTTGAGCACGTAGACTTTCCCTGTCAAGAAACAGGGCGCGAGCGTCGAGGGGCACAGTTTGATTGAGAAAAAACAGTCTGCACCAGCGAGGGGGCATCAACAACAATTACTCGTCAAAAACGAAAATTCAACAGCACGGAAGCCAAAGGCAACCACAAGAGGCGGCCTGGAGCGCCTGCTGCGCCGGGTCTGGCGGCGGGGGCGGCGCCTGCGCCTTCTCCACGGCCGCCTTCACCAGGGCCAGCAGCAGCGCCGTGGACGTCGCGGCCGCCTGCTGGCCGCCCGACCGCCCGATGAGGTCGCCCAGCGCGCCGAGGATCTGCGCCTGCTGACCCCCCGCGGTCGCCTGGCCCAGCACCTGGGCCGGAGCAGGGTCGGGCTCGGGCTGGGGCTCTGGCTCAGCCTCTAGCTCGGGCTGGCGCTCGAGCTCGGGCTCGGGCTCGGGCTCGGGCTCGGGCTGGAGGGGGGGCACAGCGTCGGGCTCCAGGTGCGCACGGCGAGGTGTGCGTCTCGGCGTCGCCGCGGATCGCGGGGGCGGGAAGCGGGAAACGCACGAGGGCACAGGTGTCCCCCGGCCAGGGGGGTTGCCAGAGGTGATCCTCGCCTTGCGAAGGCCTCCGATGGCCAGCGAAGGGGCCTTCGGAGGCCTCCGTAGAGCTTTTGGAGGCCTCTCGGGGTGCCCCTGGCCCAGAGCGTCACCGCTCTCTTCGCACGACGTCGGAACCCTTGGGGCCCTGTGGGTCTCCCGGGAAGGGCTCGGGTAGAAGCCTCCCAAACGGGTCCGAGCAAATGGGATCGAACGATTAGATCGGGCATGCCCTTCTACAGGCGGATTTGGGGCAATAAAAATCAATAACGACTCAAAAACGACTCAAAATCAAAAACGACTCAAACCGAATCAAGAATAGTGCAAAATCGTCCCCTGACAATGTGTTTGTTAACTACTCTTAAATATTCCTTCTGTAGCGAGACACGCCTGACTCAACCGAACGATCGCGCCGCATCGCCGATGCATCACCGATGCATCGGCAGCGCCGGCGGTGCCTCGGCGACGTCGGCGCGTGGAGATCGCCCACGCCAGCGGCCCCGTGCAATTTCACAGAGTCCTGGTAACCGCGCAGTTATGGTACGTTACGCAGTCGAGTTCGCTCGCGCAACGGGGCCGCCGAGCGGGGTCGAGGTGGCGAACTATAGGAAACCCATAGGCCGCTAGGTTCCCTATAGAGTTTCTGGCGGCCTATGGTTTTCCCATGACTCGCGGCGGCGAGCGAGGTCCGGGTTCCGAAGTATGGGAAACTCAGAAGTCGCCAGATGACCCAGGGGTTCTGGCGACCCTTGGGTTTCCCATAGTTCGCGGCGGCGAGCGGGGTCCAGGTTCCGTCTTATGGGGAACCCATCTGTCGCCAGATTCCCTAGGGGGTGCTGGCTGCCTTTCCTAGGGGTTTCACATAATTCGGAATTACGGGAAAACCGTAAATAGACGATTGCCCCCGGGGCGACTCGGCGCCGAGATTCCGAAGTGTGGGAACCCCATAGGCCACAGATTCCCTGGGGTTTCTGGCGGCCTATGGGTTTCCCATAATTCGCGGCGGCGAGCGGGGTCCAGAGTCCAAAGTATGAGAAACATATAGGTCGCCAGAAACCCTTAGGGAATCTGGCGACCGATGGGTTTCCCATAATTCGCCCACGCCAGCGGCCCCGTGGAATTTCACAGAATCCCAGAAACCACGCAAGTATGGTACATTCGCAATCGACTTCGCTCGCGCAATGAAGCCACCGAGCGGGGTCGAGATTCCGAATTATGGGAAACCCATAGGTCGCCAGACTCCCTAGGGTGTCTGGCGATCCATGGGCTTCCCAAAAATGTCCCCGCCGAAGTATGGGAAACCCATAGATCGCAAGGAAACTTGAGGAATCTGGCGGCCCATGGGTTTCCCATCATTCGCGGCGGCGAGCGGGGTCCAGATTCCGAATTATGGAAAACCCAGGTCGCCAGAAACCCTAGGGAATCTCGCGACCGATGGGTTTCCGATATTTCTGGGGGGGCAGAATCTGGCAACCCCGAGAAATCATGTCCCCAGGTCACTGCCAAGAATTATGGGAAACCCATCGGCCGCCCGATTCCCGAGGGTGTTCGGCGACCTACGGGGTTCCCATTTTTCGGCGGGGACCATTTTGGGAAGCCCCTAGGTCGACATATTCACTCGTGGTTTCTGGCGGCCCATGGGCTCCCCATGATTCCAGGAAGAGAGCTGTTGAGGCTGTGGGGCTCTCGTCTGACGCCCTGTGACCTCGGGTTTCCCAGAATTCGCCCCTGGAGCTTACCAAACTGTGGGAAACCCAAAGATGAACGGCAGCCTTCCGCCCTCCCCCTGGGCCTGGAGGGAAAGGGGCGGCGAGGGGCCAGAGCGTCCAAACCAGCCTCGGCGAGGAAGCCAGAATCACGGGGTTGATAAGGTTTTGGCCACCTGTTGGCCTCCTGGGGACGGGGCTTAAATTACTACGGCCCCTCCTTTGATCGATCCCCTCAAAGATAGCCCCACGATGGCCCTCGCGGTTCCCAAGGGTGTCCCGAGAAGGCCCCAAAAGGTACCCAGGAGGCCCCAAGGGGCTCCCGAGAGGCTTCCAAGATGCCCCCAAGAGGTCCCAAGAGATCCCCTAAGAGGCGCCCAAAGTCTCCCGGGAGACACAAAAGACGCCCCATGAGGCTTCGGCGAGAAGGCCAAAAGCATTGATAGACTACGATTTTGCCACATGTTGGCCTCCTAGGAGGGGGGGGAGAGGGGGGGGGAGGGGCTAATCCCACCATCCCTGGGCGTGAATGGTTCAGAGCGTTTCCTTGTCCCCCCCCTCCCATCTTCCCATTCGAGGAGTGGTTTACCCATCGCCTCCTTTATGGGTCTAGAGGTTCGGGAAGGGGTTTCCCCCTCCGCCTCCCCCCCCCCAGACACTGGGTCTGGAGGAGGGGGCAGCGAGGGGCTAGAGCATCCAAAACGGCCTCTTCTGAGTGACGGGGGGCCCTATGTTACGTCTGCCCCTCCTTTGCTCGATCTCCTCCAAGTTGGACGCAAGACGGCCCCAGGGGCTCCCAAGGGTATCCCAAGATGGGCCCCAAGAAGCACCCAGGAGGCCTCAAGAGGCCACGAAGGTGCCCAAGAAGCCTGAAGAGGTTCCCCCGAGCCACCCAAGAGGCCCCAACAGGCCCCTCAGGACCTCCACGAGGCCCCCAAAGGCCCCAGGAGGCCAAGAAACTCGCAGGAGACATCCGAAGAAACCGTGGGAGGCATCCAAGGGACCTCTGGCCTTTTTGGTGATCCTCCTCTCCTCCTCCTCCTCCTCCTCCTCCTCCTCCTCCTCCTCCTCCTCCTCCTCCTCCTCCTCCTCCTCCTCCTCCTCCTCCTCCTCCTCCTCCTCCTCCTCCTCCTCCTCCTCCTCCTCCTCCTCCTCCTCCTCCTCCTCCTCCTCCTCCTCCTCCTCCTCCTCCTCCTCCTCCTCCTCCTCCTCCTCCTCCTCCTCCTCCTCCTCCTCCTCCTCTCCTCCTCCTCCCTCCTCTCCTCCCTCCTCCTCCTCCCTCCTCCTCCTCCTCCTCTCCTCCTCCTCCTCCTCCTCCTCCCTCCTCCTCCTCCTCCTCCTCCGGCTCCTCCCTCCCCCATCCCGCCTCCTCCATGCTCTCTTCCTCCTCCTCCTCCTCCTCCTCCCCTCCCTCCTCCTCCTCCTCCCTCCTCCTCCTCCTCTCCTCTCCTCCTCCTCCCATCTCCTCCTCCGCATAGTCCTCCTCCTCCTCCCTCCCCCATCCCGCCTCCTCCATGCTCCTCTTCCTCCTCCCTCCTCCTCCTCCTCCCTCCTCCTCCTCCTCCTCCTCTCCTCCTCCTCCTCCTCCTCCTCCTCCGCATAGTCCTCCTCCTCCTCCCTCCCCCATCCCGCCTCCTCCATGCTCCTCTTCCTCCTCCTCCTCCTCCCCCTCCTCCTCCTCCTCCTCCTCCTCCTCCTCCTCCTCCTCCTGCTCCTGCTCCTCCTCCTCCTCCTCGACAGTTACAAAATACGGACACTACTCCCCTCTCTCCCCTGACTCTGTCATGAAGATGTTCGGCTCCCCTCGGCTTGTCATTTTGAACACACTTGTTCGACGGCGGCGAGGCAGACCTGCTGCACTGGCGGTCGGGCGAAACGGGGCGACCGAAGCGAGAATTGCCCAGCAGCAGAAGGGGACTGAGACAGACGAGGCGGCGATTTCTCTTACACTGGATTCCGGCGAATTGGTCGTCCACGTGTGTTTTACACACCCGTTTCTCTCCGGTCCTTCAAGCTGTTGCTCCCGCTGCAGCGCTGGCCTCATGTTCGTGCTTCCGCTCGTTCCGAATCGTGCTCCCGCTGCAGCGCTGGCCTCCTTTCCGCGCTTCCGCTCTTTCCGAGTCGTGCTCCCGCCGCAGCGCTGGCCTCATTTCCGCGCTTCTGCTCGTTCCGAATCGTGTTCCCGCCACAGCGCTGGCCTCACTTCCAGTACCATGCCATGGCATGCAATACAATGCTATGGTGTGTTCCGCTGTGCGATGCCATGCCTCCAGAGGCAATGCTATGATGTACAGTGCCACGCAATGCTATGCAATGCTACGCGTTGATCGTCAACGTCATGCTCTACCATGTAATGCCATGCCATGCTACGGCATCCAACTGCGCGAATAGAGAGGAGATCTACGCCATGGGAAGGGATGGGAGGGAGGGGTGGGACGTCAGATAAGACGCTTGCGCACCTAGCCTGTCCTCCTCCCCCTCCTCCTCCTCCTCATGCTCCTCCTCCTCCTCCGCCTCCTCCTCCTCCTCCTCCTTCTCCTCTGGTTACTCATCATTCCTCCCCCCCCTTAGGGGCATGACGGCTTCCGAGCCTTTATTCCACTGCGTGCTCCCGTACATGCCTGATCAGAGCAACTCCCCTGGGCATCGTGTCTGGATGGGATCGTGGGCTTACGCGAAGCGTCTAGCATATGAGAACGTGACCGACGAGCAGGCGGAAAACGATGAGGAAGAAGAAGGACGCGTGCAAACCCAAGACTCATCAGCGATGTTGAAGTACACCATCCCTCCAAGATCTCCCTTCATAGGCCCCTACAAGAGGTCATGTCCACCGAGGGACTTGCCCAATTGGGGGACCACCGTGCGAGCATCTTGAAGCGGCGTTCGGAAAAAAAATAAAGAAAAAAAAAATGATTGTTGCGCCTCGCCGATCCTGAATCGTACCAGAGCACTTTTCCTGGGACTTCAACACCGCGGATCAACGCAACTGTTGCTCCCTGACAGTTCTGAATCGTTCCCAAAAACAAGTTCTGGCACGTTAACCCTGAGGACCACTGAAGCTCTTGAAAATATGAAGAACGTATGTGTGCGGCGCTCAGGCGAGAGACACATGTTCAAAACCACCCGCCCTTCATCCGTGAAACTCTGGCAAATGTTTAAAACGAATATGCGCGGCGCTAGGGCGAGAGCCACAGTTTGAATACTAACCGCCCTCCATCTGTGAACTGTTCTGAATGTTTAAGCATCAGGGTCGTAAATTGTGAGGAAATCTCAAGCGAAACGCTCAGCCTGCTCTTTCGACCGGCCTCGGGGTGCGACAGGGAAAAGTTATCTAGAAGGAAAGGACTTGACGAGCACAAACAGCAGCAGGAGGAATTCGAGTGGAAGGAGCGGGAGGAGCAGGAGGACCTGGGAAAGGCGGAGGAGGAAAAAAAGGGGGGCGACAACGATCAGGACAGACTCGGACCCAAAAGTCACCCGCGCTAGGGCGAGAGGGCCGTTCTGAACGATGGGAGCAAAGCCGAGATCCTAAAACGAGGCCAACGCTGCAGCGGGAGTACCATTTTGGACGGACCAAGAACGCTTTGTTTGGAAAACGCATAGAAAGGTCGGACACGGTCTGTATGAAAAAACAATACGCGGAGGGAGGCGCGCGACTCTCAGACCATCTCTGGGGAAGAAATGATCAGTATGCAGATCAAGCTAGGTGCACTCATGCCGATCAAGCAGAGAGAAAAGAGAGTAGTTAGTACCCATGGTGTGTAATTGTGGAACGATGGTGCAGGAGGGGGGGGGAGGGGGAGAAGGGGAAGGAGGAAGGGACTTTCACCACTCGGCCGCAGCACCTGCGCAAGCTGCGCGACCACCTGTGCGGAAACAGAAAGACCGGGGAAGCGTGGTGTGGCTACTCTTCCAGTCAGGCTGGGCGGTATGCACGCCTGGCCGCCATGTGCAAAAGAACACACAGATTCCCCAGACATGCTTACATTGAGGGCTACTTACCTCTGCCGGAAGGAGTTGGCTGGCTTCTTCTCCAGCTTTCGGTCGGCGCCCAAGTCTCCGCCGCTGTGCGCCCGAGGGCGATCCGGCGCCCACGCGCGCTGGCTGGCACTCTCTCCCCAGTCGGTCCTTGCACCAAGGGTTCCTTACCTCTGGCGTGCGGCATTGGCAAGGTCCCCGGCCGGTGGGCGCCCGCAGACGCCCACCGTCGCCGCTTTGCGCTGTCTTGAGCAGGGACCGACCGGCCCGGCATTCCTAGAGTCCTACCACGACATGTTCTTAGAACCCAAAAATGTTCCAAGAACAAAAACACTGTCCTTAGAACACTAACCCGATGTGTTAAACCAAGACAGTCCCAACCAGAAATGTTCTAAGAACATTTCGTGGAAACCACAAAAGGTTCTTAGAACACTGTCTGGTAGGGCTATAGGCGAGCCAGGACGCTTCGCCACAGCTTGACTGTCTGGCCTCTGTGGGATCTCGGCCAGTCGGCGCGAGTGCGCGCTTGCTGCACCTGCCACGCCAGCCTGGGACCCTCCACGTGCTGAGCGCCCCGCCGGCCGGCGGCCCTCCCGCGCGCGCGGGGGCGCGCCCGGAGGGGAGGAGGGAGAGGACGAGGAGGAGGAGGAGGAGGAGGACGAGGAGGAGGATGTGGAGGACGGAGGAGGAGGAGGAGGAGGAGGAGGAGGACGAGGAGGAGGAGGAGGAGGAGGAGCACGAGGAGGAGGAGAAGGAGGACGGGGAGGAGGAGGAGGAGGAGGAGGAGGAGGATGGAGGAGGACGAGGAGGAGTAGGAGGAGTAGGAGGAGGAGGAGAAGGAGGAGGAGGAGGAGCAGGAGGATGGGGGAGGAGGAGGAGGAGGAGGAGGAGGAGGAGGCCCAAGAGAAGGAGGAGAAGGACCCCGAGGACCCCCCTCTCGCGGCCTCCCTCGCCCTCCGCGCCCTCTCCCGCGGGGATCTTAGTTGTCCTTTCGCATTCCAGCCTCGGCCCTCCCGCACTGTGCGGCCGCCACCGCCGCCACCGCCGCCGCCATCGTCGTCGTCGTCGTCGTCGTCGTCGTCGTCGTCGTCGTCGTCGTCGTCGTCGTCGTCGTCGTCGACGTCGTCGTCGTCGTCGTCGTCGTCGTCGTCGTCGTCGTCGTCGTTCTCCCCCCCCGAACCTGCGAAGTCTGGCCCTGGCCCTGGCCCGTCGCTGCGGGCTGATGGCGCTGCTGCCAGCCGCCGCCAGACGACGGCGCCCCAGGGCCTCGGCCGAGGAAGCCCGAAAGGCCGACCGAAACTGGGGTCCAGGGCCACGGGTTCCAGCCCGACCCAGACCTGCTCGCGTCGTGACAAAAACACGAGCGAATGTTCCTGGCAGTTCTCAACCTCCAGCCATCGCCGGGCCCTGGGACCGTGAAAAAACAACCCTGCGAGAAAAGAACGCCATGGGGAGGAGCGTCGGGACTTCCAGGCACCCCGTGTTGAAAGAATCAAGACGCCAGATGTCTGGGGAGGCAGGGCCTAGGTCGCCTTACTTCGAGAATCGCGCCCCGCGATGCGCGACGCGCGGTTGTCTTCGCGCCCTCGCGAGGCCACCTTGGAGAAGAGCGGCTCTCTGGCCCAGGCCGCGACGCGGGCAGCGCGACTATCTCCGCGCCCCTGAGGAGGACCTAGGAAGGCAGAACCTCGTCCTTCTCCCCCCCCCAGTTCCCCAAACAGAAAAGAAAGAAAATGTCTATAAACCTAGCCCGACGAAGGCCGCACCGATTCAATGGATCGGCGCTATCCCACCCACCCTGGCGCGCGCGCCAGGCGGGTCTGGCGCAGATCCAAGAAACGCGCGCGGGCTTTCGGAAGTATACCAGGAAGCTGGAGGCACACATGATGGCTGGATTTAGGTCGGGCATGCCCCCTACAGGCGGAGCTCGGACGAAAAGTCTAAACCATTCAACAAAAAACAACCAAAAAATATCAAAAAATCGTCAAAAAATCGTCCCCGTACTATTCTTGAGCTACTCTTGAATATTCCTCCTGTACAGGGACGCGTCCGATTCAAGGCTGGGTTCACGTGTGGAACACCCGGAGGCCGCGCGCTGGATACGCGTGCGGAGAGCTGGCGTGCCTGGCTGTCCCCAGAGGGGCCGAGCGCTAGAAGGACACGCGGCCACGGACGTACCCAGCCCTCGCCCAGGCCGGCCGCGTCATATGAATCCAGCTTCCTGGCACAGCAGGGGCTCGACCACAAGAAACCTTCCACGAGAAACCCAGCCCTGAGACCCCCAGGACGTCGCGTGGTTTTCGGTGTGGGAACGTCACGCTTTCCATGGCAAGGCCATCGAAACCCAAGAAACGCAGGGCACCCTGGAGGCAAGCAGGGTGTTTCTTGGCATGGGAATCCACTGCCAGCCCCCCTCCCAGCATCCGTTCTTAACAGCACGATACAAAAAAAGCGGAGACATGATGAGCAAGAAGGATGGGCGAGCAGGCCCCGATGAAAAGAGGGCAGATGATCGGTAGAGCACGAACGAAGAGCTCCAAGGCCGATGTCAAATGAATGGGTGCTGGGGGGGGGGGGGCTGCGCTATGTGGCGGGCTCCGGAATGCCTGAACCCAAAAGTGTTGTCATCTCTTGGGGACGCATTTTTCACTTCCGCCCCGCCGCCATTCCGCGGGCTTCCGCCAGCGAAGGCGGCCTCGTTGCACTTCCGCCGACCTTCCGCCGCCCTTCCGCCGCCTTCTGCCGAGGACGAGATGACAATCCTTCTATGCTCGAAGGCGAGGCCCGTCCTGGAACGCCCCATATGTTCGTGCAGCTCTTCTCCTTCGGCCAGAGCAGGCCCGTGGCCCTGGGCCCCCCATGGGCTGCCTCCCCGGAGCTTCTACTGGGCCGGGCGCCTTCTCTGCCCCCGCCCAGCGGGGCGCTCCCCGCCCGCTCGCGCACGGCGCTCAGCACGGACGGGCTGACCACCGAGTCCAGGCGGCTTCCCGGGGCCTGGGAGGGGGAGGGGGAGGAGGAGGAGGAGGAGGAGGAGGAGGAGGAGGAGGAGGAGGAGGAGGAGGAGGAGGAGGAGGAGGAGGAGCAGGAGGAGGAAGAGGAGGAGGAAATGAGCAGGGGGAGTGGCTTCCCGGGGCCTCGATGAACTTCTCGAGGAGGTCCACCTTGGCTTACCCCTGAGATCCTGGCCTCGCACGTTTGGTCGCCCCGGGGGATCTGGCCCTGGGCCCCCAGGACCCTCACTGATCTCTCCGATTCGAGGACGTGCCGCAGGAGGGTAGGGTCCAGGGTTCGGATCGTGATTTGTCCCGACGCTACGTTGTTTCGAAGCGTCGGTAGGGCTCGGGTCGTGACATATCCTGGTGCTTCATTTTTTCGAGACGTCGGATTTCAGGAACTGAGACGAGCCCACGGGGATACCGCCAAAGGGGCGCCTCCAGTGATCATGGTAGAGACCTGGTGGGCGAAAGACGGTACAACAAATATCCTCTTGCGCGATCGGAGGCCCAGAGTCCCCGACCGCAGAAGAGTCTTGTGTTGTAGCGCCCTTCGCCCGCTGAAAGCAGGGACCTGCCCTTCCTGGCTGGAGGCCTCCCAGATGGGGTCGGAGAAGATGAAGTCCGAGGATCGCGCCGCGCCGTCGATGCATCGCCGAAGCATCGACGATGCATTGGTGACGTCGGCGGTGCATCGGCGCCGTCGGCGTGGAGAAAATCGGGCTCCACGTCGAGCCAAATCGCCGATGCATCGGAGATGTGACGCGATCCTCCGACCCCATCTGGAAGGCCTAGGGAGAAGGGACCTGCCTTTCCTGGCCCGATGGGCCCTCGCAGCCCTCGACCCACCCCCAGCGGGCCGGGCCACCGCTCCAGAGACCTGCTCCGGGGGACCGGCGATGAAGAGCTGGGGCTCGGTCACGAGGCCCTGCCACGCGCCGCGGTCCTGCGAACAGCACAACCCCCCACCCCCGCTCCTGGTTCGACCATTTGGACGCCCGAAATGGGCACGGCAAGAATGGGTACAATGCGCAACAACAAATGTTGTCCCAAACCAACAGCGGCTGCTGTTAGGCAGGCAGCCTTCTGTCTCGAATGGACACAGGCCGCGGCGGCGTGGACAACAAGTCCTGTTCTAAATGAACAGGAACTGCAGTTGGGCATTGTACCCATTCTTTCCGTACCCATGTCGGGCGTCCAGAGACCAGAGCTAGAGGAATTCCCGGATAGCTCGCCGAGAGCTACGAGGGTTTCAGATTAAGAGGCCGGAGCCGCAGGGTAGCCCCAGAGATCGTTCCGGCGGCGGTCCAGGCTCCCCGGCGTGGGCTGCTTGAGCCGGAGATCGGTCCCGTGAAATCTTGTCTAAGAGTTTCCCAGTGCTCCCGACCTCGTGATCCAGGGTGTCCTGGCTGGGGGCGGGGGTGGGTCTCTTGGCCCCCAGGAGCCCCCGCCCGAAAAACCCACTCCCAGCCAGGGTCCATGGATCACCAGATCGGGAGTGGGGGTCCTGGCTGGGGGGTAGGGGTGCGTCGTGCTGTCCGCAGATCCTGCTGTATCTCGATGTAGCACCCGGTGACCTCGTTCAGCTCCTTTATCGTCTGTCCCTTAGAGCCCATCACTTTGCCGATGACCGACTGGTCCAGCCTCATGTAGGTTGTGGCGTGCCCGATTCCCGTGTGGTCACCTCTGACCACGTCCTCTATCAGCTTGGCACAGACGTCGACGCGGTCTGCAGCACCCATGATCTCGATGCGCAAGATGTCCGTCGCGGCGACATCCCTCTTCTCCTGCATGTGGCACTTGATCACGCCACTCGTCTTGCGGATCGTCTCGATTGTCTGGCCATGCAAGCCGAGTAAATGGCCTTTCATTCTGGCTGGCACATCTATAGTCCGCTCTGTCAGCGGCCCATCGCGCTCCGTTGCCACGTACCCTGGCTGGGAGACCTGAGTCATCGCGTGTGCCGACTCCAAGTCTGGCTGCATGCCCAGTGCCTCTGGCAACACGGCCGCCAGGCTACTTCCAGGCGCATCGATGAATCGCCTCGCCAGGTCCACCGCAGCCTCGACATTGTCTGGAGGACCGGCGAAGAAGAGGCAGGGCTGGTTGTCCAGAACCTCAGAATCACACCTGATCCAGCTTGTTCCAAGACTAAAATACCCGATCCTGAGCCCAAGCCTGACCCGGTCAGCCCGATCCAGTCGAAAACGCAGAGCAATCAGTTCATCGCGAGCCCTATCGACCATCCCGACCCCCCCCCCCGCGGACGGGCCATAGACGCAGAGGCCATCAACAGGCCTCAAATGGATCGGAGAGGACTCTAAGCTCGAGAACACCCTGCTCGGGGAACTGCCGGATCTCGATATAGCAGCCCGTGTGGTCCGTCATGTCCCTGATCGTCGCTCCCTTGCTGCCCATGAGCTTGCCGATCAGAGGCGGGTCAACGTTCATGGCGGTCGTCGCGAAGCCGAGCTCGCTCTGGTCGCTCAGGCAGACGCCCTCCAGCATGCGCCTGACGGTGGCCACCTGCTCCTCGGTCCCCGAGACCTCCACGGGGATGGTGGGCCTGTAATCCCCAGTGTTGTTATGATTGAATACTCCAGATTTCGTAATAAAGGGAGGGGGGTCTCATTTCGGGGGGGGGTCTCTTCCAGGCTATCTTGGAGGGCCTGTGGGGGTCTGTGGACGATGTTTTGGAGGGTTCTCCCACGGGGGAGGTCTGAAATGGCTTGTCTTGGAGGGTCCAGACCCCCTCCCTTTTTTTACGAAATCTGGAGTACTGGTGTTTTCATGTTTGCTGTCTTTCATTATTTCTGCAGGTGGGCCTGTAGTCCCTGTGGAAGCGCTGCGCCTTCTCCTTGTCGTGTATGTGGAGGCGCTGCACCCCCGACTGGAACTTCATCTTCTGGATCGTCTGCCCCTTGTAGCCGAGCAGTTGGCCCAGCCTGTCACACTGCGGGCCCCGCGGGGGAAAGACCCCCTGACGACCACAGTCACGGCCAGACAGGCTATCGGAGCTCCCCACACGAAGCCTCGAATCGGATCGCGCGCACGGGGTCTGGTTTCCACGCGGCCTCCCTGGAGGGAGACAAGTTGTACTGGCGGGGCCCGCGGAGTGGAGGGGGCACCAGACGCGACAGATGACGGGGTGTCACGACGGGGATCGCGGTCCCACGCGGCCACCATGCAGAGGGAAACGTGGCACCAGTTGGGTTCGTGGAGTGGGCGGGGAACCGGACGCGAGAAACAGCGCTCCCACGCAGCATCCCTGGAGCGGGAAAACGTGTTACTGGTCGGGCGTGTCAGCTCAGAAAAGCGGGAGACGGAGTCAATACGAAAGTGGGAGAGGAAACGATGAGCAGAGTGGAAAAAAAGGAAGACGAGGAGTGGGGGATGCTCTGAGAAAACAATTAGCCTGGCGCGACATAGCGCAGGGCGCGACCCTGTCATTTTCTGCACACCGCGGGAGGAGAGTGCCGAACTGAGGGAGGGAACAGTTGCGATCGCGCCAACTGGGACCGCAGGTGGAGCTCCGACAGAGGGGCGGAACGTGAGAGGGATGTGCCGACTTGAAGGATGGCAGCGCATGCGATCGTGTCCACCGTAGGTGGGGCTGCCTAAGGGGCACGAGACGCGTGATGGGTGTGCCGAATTGGGGACGGTAGCGCCTGCGAACGCGATCACCGAAGCCGATGGTGGAGCTGCGCATGAGCGGCGTGCCGACTCAGAGCGGTGGTAGCGCACGCGATCGTGCCAACCGCACGCGGAGCTCACAAAGGGGCTCAAAGCGTGCGAGAGGTGTGCCGACTGGGAGGTGGTAACGCATGCGATCGCGCTGACGGGAACTGGAAGTGGAACCCCTTAAAGCGCACAGAGCGTGTAAGGGTGTGCCGAATTGGGGGTTGTGGCGCATGCTGACGCGCCTTTTGAGAAAGAAGGTGGAGCTACCTCTGGGGCACGAAGCGTATGAGGGGTGTGCCGAACCTTGGAGTGGTGCCACGTGCGAACGCGCCCAGTGAAGCCGTAGGTGGAACTCCCTCAAGCCCCCGAGACATGTGAAGAGGTGGTCAAGTGGGGGGCGGCAATGCATGCGCACGCACCCTTGAAAGGCCGTGAGAGGAGCTGCCTGTGGGGCGCGGAACGTATGAGGGGCTCGCCTAAACTTTGGGTGATAGCGTGTGCGAATACGCCCACGGATGCGGCAGGCGGAACTCCCCAATGGGGCACGGAACACCTGAGGGGGTGCCGAAATGGAGGTGGTAACGCATGCGGACGCGCCCACTCAACAGGACCATAGGTGGAGCTGCCTGTGAGGCACGCACGAAGCGTGTGAGGGGGTGGTGGTAGCGCATGCGAACGCTGGCCTGATTGACGGGTGATATCGCAGGCGATCGCGCTCACTGAAGCCGTAGGTGGAGCTCCATGTCGTGCTCGAAATGTGTGGAGTGGTGTCCCGAGCTGGGCGAGGGCATGATGGCGAGGAGGCCGGGGAGCCGGGAAGGAGGAAAGAGCTTGGGCGTGGCGCTGCATGTTAAATTCCTTGGTGAAGGACCACGACGTCTGCAGTGGTGAGTAGCGCAATACTGATGAAAAGAAGGAAGGGGCGAGCAACAAGACTGGGACGTGGATGAGAAGGACGAGGACGAACAACAACAGGGGGTCGGGAATGGCAAGTGAGGTGGAGAAACGATGGGGCCCCCTCTGAGGCCAAGAAACGTGTGAGGGGTGTGCCGAGCTGGACCCCAGACGCCATGCGACCAGTGCCGCTGAAAGCTTCGGTGGAGCTCCACATGGGACCATGACACGTGCGAGGGCTGTGCCGAAATGGGCGCGGGGGCCGCGTGCGAACGCAGCCACTGCAGCCTTCGGTGGAGCTCCCTCTGCGTCCACGAGGCGTGTGAGGGGTGTGCCGAAATGGACGAGGGGCGCGATGCGAACCCTTCCGCTGGGGCCTTCGGTGGAGCTCCCTCTGTGGCCACGAAACGTGCGAGGGATGTGCCAAAGTGAGCGGGGATACGCTATGGGAACCCTGCTGCTGGTGCCTTCGGTTGAGCTTCCCCTGAGGCCACGAAACAGCTGAGGGTGTGTAAAAATGAGCGGGAGAACGCTAGGCGAGCGCAGCCACTGGGCACGCGGTAGTGCTCCGTCTATGGCCACAAAACGCGTGAGCGGTGTGCCAAAATAGGGGTGTGCCGAAATGGGCGAGGGGACGCTATGCGAACCCTGTCAGTTGGGCCTTCGGTTCAGCTCCGTCTGGGGCCACAGAACGAGTGAGGGGTGCACGGAAGGGGGGGGGTAAGGGACGCAGGAGTTGGCTGGACCAGGGCGCTGCTGATTCAAAACGAAGAGCCGACACCACAGGATGGCTGGGAAAGAGATGGTCCGACTCCACAAGGTGGGTGGGGGGGAGGAATGCTGACAACCAGACAACCACAAACGAGACTAAATCAAAGCCACTCGGCTGTCGTACGAATTAGCCGAGAGGTCACGATACCTGGAAGAAGAGAGGCCGCATTCACAAGACTGCTAGCTTCCCGTGCGCCTGGGTGACGGGAAGTCGAAGACCATGACCTGTTCGCCTGTGGGAGTCAGCGACGGTGCGACGCTGGTCGAAGGCGCCACCATGGTGGCCCCGAGGGGCACATCGCGCACCGGCTGTCGTCCAGACGAAGGCCCTCCAGGTCTCCCGCGGGATCGGCTGCGGCCCCTGGCGCACTGGGATCGCAAAGAGCTGATCACCACAAGTCGAACTTATCCAAAACAGTGGGTCTGGCAAGTCTACCAGAATCCATACAGCAAGTGCGCCTGTATCCGTGCGCGCGAAAGCGTGAGCGCAAATTTCTGATCGTGTGCGTCCGCGTGCGCGTGCGGTTGTACCTGCGTCTGTGCGTGGGCGACCGCGCATGACTGTAGCAGCCTCTGGTGTGTGCGTGCGTGTGCGACTCAACGCGTGAGTGGTGTGGGAATATGCGATTGTGTGAGTGCGTGTGTGTGCGTGTGTGCACGATGTGGCTGTCCTACATCGTGCCCCCCCCTTCCCGCAGGCCTCCAGCCCTCGCTCGGGGCCTGCCTCGCCGCCTTCCTTCCCCCGCCTCCGCGGCCGCTGTTCCTCGTGCACCCGTTCGGCGCCCCCTCCGCAGGCCCCCAACTCTCGCTCGGGGCCTGCCTCCTCCCGAAGCCGCCAGCGTCGCCACTGCGCCGGGGTGACCCCCGCACGCCCACGGGTGGGGTCTCGCTGGCTGGCGGCGCTTGGCCGGTGCCCACCGCCGCCGCCATGCCTGGGTGGGCCCTGCCACAGCGGGCTGGCCTTGCCGCCTGCTCGTGGCCTCTGGGCCGCCCCTCTCTGCCTGCCTTGGGGTGCCCTGCCCCGTTTCCTGGGGCGTTGGCCGTCTGCAGGTTTTGTCCAGGCGCTACCTGTGGCACCCAGCCGGCCCTTGCCGTGCTTCGCCGGCCGGCGACACTCGCTACTTTGCCTGTGTCCCCCCGCTACTTTGCCTGTGTCCCCCCCATCTGCCTGGTTTTCTGGCCATCACCCCAGCACCGGCTACCGGTGTCCGGCCGCTGTTGCTCCTGTGGCACCTCGCCGCTGTCGGTTTCTGCTCAGTTGGCCTGCTGCCTCGGAGCCCACCTTGTTCGCCCCATCCGGCCCGCCGCTCCCCCACTGGGGGAGGCCTCCTCGCGTTCCCCGCCTCCGGCTGGCGTTCGCCGCCTCTTGCCGCCGCCTTTCTCTACGCCTGTGCCTTTGTTCGCCTGGGTTTGGCACTCGCCCCGTTTGGCCTCGGCACCCGCTGTGATCTGGGTGTTGCTTGCTTCGTGCCTCCTCGCCTCACCGTTAACAGACACACCATGGCGTCGACTGTCGTCCAACATGCGCCCTGGACCCTCCGCTCCCACACTCGGCGTACCGTTGCGCATCGCCGAACTGTTTCTCACTCTTCCGCGCCTGCGCCTCGTAGGTCCTCCTGGTCTCGGCGCTCCCCACCGTTGCCGACGTTCGGGGTGCTCTCCCTTCAGCAACGGGTCGAGACTCTGCTTTGCTTCCCCTGATCCCCCTACCGCCGCCCTTCCGCGGGCAGCCCGCTCCCGCTTCTGCTCTGTGCCGATCAGTGCTGCGCGGTGCCGTCGCTAGTCATCCACCCTTCCCTGCCCGCGCCTCGTAGGCCCGCAGGTCTCGGCGCATCGGCTCATCCTTGGACCGTGCCTTGGTTCACTGGGTTGGGGCTCTGCTACATTGTGTTTCTCCATCCTCAGCTGCAGCTCAGTGCTGCTTCCCCCCTGGCTGCAGCTCCGTTCCGCTCAGTGCAGCTCAGTGCCGACGCTGGCTCCCACTTGCGGCGCCCCCCCCCGCCGCAGTCGGCAGCTCCGTTCGGGCCTTTCCACCTTCCACCTCCCCGCACGCGCCTCGTAAGCCCGCAGATCTCGACGCACTGGCCCATCTCTGGGCTGTGCTTCGAGTCACTGGGTCCAGCTCTACTTCGCTGCGTTTTCCACCACCCGCTGCAGCTCCATGCTGCCTCCCCCCAGCTTCAGCTCAGCGCAGCTCAATGCAGCTCTGTGCCGGCGCTGACCCCCCCCCCCTCGGCGCTCCCCCCGCCGCAGCCGGCAGCTCTGAGTGGGCCGGCTTCCTCTCTTCCTGTCGCGCTGGGGCTCCTCCTCCTCCTCCTCCTCCTCCTCCTCCTCCTCCTCCTCCTCCTCCTCCTCCTCCTCCTCCTCCTCCTCCTTCCGTGCATTGCGGCCTCAATTTGCATACAGCGTGTCCCCTGTTGCCACTCCGCCGGAGCAGTGGCCCTCTGCCCAGCCGCCGACGCAAAAAGTGGGTGTGTGCGTGTGTGTGTGTGTATGCGAATGACTAGAATGGTGGCACGTGGTCCTCCTGCTAGACCGCATCGCCCACATGATGCACTGACTCACCTCCAACCTTTTCCCAGCTTCTCGCCCTGGCCTCTCGGAATCCCCGTTCGCGGCCTCATTTCCCTTCTCAAACCTTTCCTGTCTTCTCGCCAGAACACTTTGGGACCCCCTGCTCCGAAGGCTCGGAAGTCACCCAGCCTTGTGACAAGTTTTCGAAGCCTTCCCCGAAGACACCGAGAACCTCTCAGCAGGCTGGAGACCTTCTGAGCAGCCCCGCCGCCCTCTGAGCAGGCCTTCTCCTTCTCGCCTCCCCCCCCCTCGCTCGCCGCCGACGCCCCCCTCCTCGGAGCTTTCCTGCCCTCTCGCCAGAAGCCTCTGGGACCCCGCCCCCCACGCGCGGGCTCCCCGCGCGGGCCTCCCCGGCTGCCCCCTATCTCCGTGGCGCCCCGCAGGCCTCGCCCCGCAGCCCGCGCGGCCCGGGCGCTCGCGGGCCTCACCGCCGCCGCCAGGAGCAGCGCCTCGGCCACCAGTCCTCTGGCCAGCCCACGCTGCTAGTTCGGGGCCACCGTGCGGCTGAAGCTGCACATGCAGGGGAACAAGAAGTGGCATAAACATAAAAACTCGGAGGTCCGCGCGGATTTCTCGGATCGGCGCTGGGGCCCCCCGGTGGCGCCTCTGGCGCCGCCCCTGGCGCGCTCCGCGCGCCAGGGAGGGGGGTCCAGCGCCGATCCGAGAAATCCGCGCGGACCTCCGAGTTTTTATGTTTATGTCACTTCTTGTTCCCCTAATATGAACACGATTGCCGTGAAGAGGTTTCGTGCCGAGTCGGACCTCCCCCATGCAGCTCTGGAGGTGATCAGGACCTTCTGCACAGACGTCTTGGCCGTGAAGCACTCCTCGTGGCGAGGGCTCCCTACGCCCGAGGCCTCATCCCCCGTTGCCTCCCCCGCGGCCGCCCTCCTCTTCCCCGGGTCGTGTTCGCGCGTGCCCCCGTGTCCCGGCGGGGCCCGCTGGCTGCGCGGAAACGCGCCGGCGACCGGCCTCGCTGCGGACCAGCAAATTGCGTGTTGCGGGCCTTCTATCCTCCAGCTCGCAGCATTCCGTCCACCCTCGGGTTCTGCCAAGCGGCTGGGTCGCGTCATCTCGGCCCACTTCTGCCGCCACATCGCTGGCCGCGCCCGCCCGCCCGCCGCCTGAAGCGCACGCGTCGGCTCCCATGCAGCCTCCTTCGCAAGGGAAAAAAGGCTATCAAGGCCAAAAACTGAACGTGGAAACGTTGGTGCCGTAGCGGCCATCGTCCATAGTGGCCATCATCAGTTCATATCTCCTCCTCAATCCGTAGTCTTTGTCCATAGTGGACATCGTCCGTTCGTGGCTCATTCTCGCAAACCGGCGCGACGGCCAGCATGGACCATGACCAACATCGGCGTCGACAAGATCCGGCGAGGTCTTCGTCATGATCGTCGTGCTTATTCCTTCGATCACTCTCTCTCTCTCCGTTTGCCTGTCCCCAGGCGACTGCTCAAATAACTCACTGAACAGGGTCGTCTCTTCCAACCGCATTGCCTGCCAATTCCCAGTTCGCCTCGCCTCGCACTTTCCGCGCAGCGCCGCACTCTGCGACTGGCGAAGCTACGACGTTGCTACACATTCAGCTCGGGTGAGGCGCAACGGTTTACATATGTCGCCGCGCCGCGACCCCAAGTAGACGTAGCCGACACCGCGGCAAACCCACGGCAAGCTCTGCGTCCGAGGCGGAGGTTGCCCTGGCCGAGGCGCCCTCTCAAAGACGGGAGGCTGCGCTTCGGAACAAACGGCGCGGCGATATATCTTGACTATCTGGCTAACCGCAGGCAGATGCTGCGCCGCTCGGATGCCACTGCGACGTGCCGCTGGCAGAACAAGTGCGCGGGTGTTCGTGCGTGAATGGTGTAGATGGATGTATGGAAGTAAGCATGAACGCGACAACGAGTGTGCCTACACTGTGCATGTGAGAATGCGCGCACGAGTCTGTGCGCCTGCACGCGGTCTACTTCAGGCCTTCTGGCCCCAGGACGCTCAGCGAGGACGACTTGTGCTCCACAGTGTTCTCCCTTTCTCCTCCCCCCCTCGTCAATGACATGTTGGACATAGTGTCAGCTTGTCTGTTTGCCAGCGCCGATTCTGAACCTAAGCTCCCAGGAGTTGCGTCCGAAAGCTTCTGATTATGCCG